GGGGGGGGACAAAACAAAGTTGGGTAGAAGGAGAAGGGTAAATTTGGCAACACTCCGAAGAAGTAGATAATGGGCATCACTTTCTCTTCTGAGGGTTTCTTTCCCACTTCCTCACCGTCTGTCGGTCTAACAAACATTCTCGAGATAACCACACACTAAAAAAATACTAACCCTTTCTACGAGAGAATTCCAATGTCAAGCTTACGATAAGGGAGTACCAGTTGGTTGTAATTTTATCTTTGTTGTAGTGGTATCTTCTTTTATCACCCTCCCCGAATTCTTTATTTCTCGTCACGAATTCTTTATCCTCCTGTGCTTAGAAAACGCCAACGTGTTTATTCTTGTTGAATACTGAATGCATATGCATATAATCCGAAAGAGAATTTTTACAATTATTATTCAAAGAAAAACAGGTTATGAAGTTAGAAGAAAATGGAATGCGGAATAGAGATCAAGTTATGAAAATGAAAGAATTGCAATCTTTCATTGTTGAAAAGTCAGTAACCGAGACATTTTCGAAATGTAGAAATGTTAGATTGTGCTCTGTCAAAGGGAATGGTGTATATATAAAGAAGGTGTCTGTGTGTATGTGTGTATGTATATGTGTGTGTTTGTGTGTGTTTGTGTGTGTGTGTGTGTGTGTTAGAGAGGTTAGAGAGAGAGGGAGAGAGAGAAGAGAGAGAGAGAGCTAGAGAGAGAGAGAGAGAGAGAGAGAGAGAGAGAAAATCGGACGGCTTGACTGAAGTCAAAGATGAAGTGGGTTTTATTCCGCATTCTATGTCCTTTGAACTATTGTTTGCCATTGTCCGTCTTGTCTTTTCAGGTACCCACACTATTTTCATACTTTCTCATATTTCGCTATTGAAACATTAACCTCAGGTCAAATCAGAAGTTGACTAATAGTTATAATAAATTGCATTCGTATAGTTAAATCCCCACTCGATAGCCAGCTCTATGCGCTGTATAATGTATATTATTACACCAGCAGATATGATAGCATTGTGAAACAATCTCAACTTCCTGGGAAGCATAAAGTGCAAGCTGCCATTTTACCGGAGCTAAAACGCTAGCATGCAGACAAGACTACAACAGAACGTTCACTTTGTCACTGTGGTCAACTGGTCATGTTATTTTATTTATTTATTTAATTTTTTTGCTTTAATCCACCCAGGCATTGGCGGTGTGACCTTCCTGAAGCAATCGCTCAAAGCCACACCCACGTACCCGTCTCATCAGGACGACATCGCTAGCTTCGCGCCATTGGACATTGAACTGGGCAATGATGACGGTTACGAGGTCGAGGTCGTTTCCTTGACATCCAATCAGATCCCAGTGCGGCGCTATGACATTGCTGACCTCGGCGACCCCGAGTACTTCCGGGGCTGGGCAGACGTACAAGGCAAAGGTTCTGCTAACGATTACTGCCGGTGAGGTTGATATTGTGTGTAATTAATCAATAACACACATCGTTGTCTCGTTTATAGATCTATAGCTGATACCGTTACTGAGACACCAGTGTCTGTGGTGTAATGCGCAGAAAGTTACCAGGATTGTTCTTTGTCTGTTTAGTGGTTTGTTGGTTTATTTTGTTTGGGGTTGTTGGTTTTTTTAAATAAAAATCCCAAACACTGGGGAAAGTTAAGGATTTCTACATCAAGGATAAGTAGAATCATTTTCGTGCCAAATTGATATGTACTGATTGATTCCAAGAATACACTTGTGTTAATTATGGTGTTTTGTTTGTTTGAGTATGGGTATGATTAATCAATTTAAAACAAGATAAAATGGTATAGTTGGACAATTCCAAACCGTAAGTGGTATGGCTTGATCAATTATTATTTTTTATTAAAGATTACGATTTTCGGTAACCAGTCACAGATGTTGTACATGCGTCTACGTTTTGACCAACCTATAGTAACATGTGACCTTTGTCTGGACAGAGTGATCGGCAAGGGCAGGCGGAGGTTCCTCTCCTGCAATCTGGCGGGAAGTACAGGTCAAGGTCACCACTACGTTTCCAAGCTGGGCTTTGAAGCGGGCTTCAACAATACCTGGTACATGAGGGATATGGACGGAGACGGCAGGGATGACTACTGCAGGTATGTGGGCGGGGGGGGGAGGGCTTTGTGGAGGCAGATTTCAGACATATGGGGAACCGCAGCAGCTGGTTGGATGTGAAGGAGAAGATCGCCCTGTACGGATACAGGTAGAGAGTCCTTCTCTTGGCGGCCAATACCAGGGTGAAAGAAGCGAATAATGATGATTATGATGATTACATGCAGGAGGAGGAGGAAGACGAGGAAGAGGAGGAGGAGGAGGGGGAGGATGACGAGGAGGAGGTGGAGGAGGAGGGGTATGACGAAGACGATGATGATGATGAGGATGATGATGAAGATGAGGAGGAGGAGGAGGAAGAGGATTATTATTATTATTAGGAGGAGGAGGAGGAGGAGGAGGAGGA